AGTGTGTGGAGAGGGAGAGTGTTTGTGATGTCAGTCCAACATTTGAACACACTTCATGTGTTTTAGCTCTGTCCCTGTAGCAATCGAGAGTCTGTGATGTGATCACCAAGCTTTACAAGACAATGAGGCATTATTGTAGTCCTGCTGTGCTTCATAACATTGGACACTGACTAAATCGACAGTAATTATGTGATAAAAATATCATATTTAGCAGGCACTCAATCCTTACTGCAGTGTCTCCTCTAAGAAAAAGTATCTGAGAGAAGGGGAAAGACAGAGAGCCACTGACAGAAACCACATGGTCTCTTGGGACTAGCACCATTTCTTAAAGGGATAGTTCACCTAAAAATGGCAATTCTTTATTTCATCTGAAGAACACAAAAGAAGATATTTTGAAATCATCTCTGTGTTTTTTGTCCATACAACGAAAGTCACCATTATATCAACAATAGTAACAAGCATTATTATTAAATAATAAAATAATTAATGAAAAAATTGCATTTATTTAAAAAAAAAAAAAACAATCAATTATTCATTGAAAAATAAAACATTTTATAAGTAATAATGAAAATAATAATAATAATAATAATAATTATAATTATAATTATTATTATTATTTTGTTATAAATGTATTAATCACTGTTTTATATTGAATAATACATTATTTGACCCAGAATTGACCCAGGGCTGCAAAAAAATGTCAAATTTAATTAATTATTTAAAAATAATAATACGTAATAATAATAATATAAATAATAAATCATACATGTATAATAATAATAATAATAATAATAATTATTATTATTTTATACTAATTATATTTATAATTCAAAAGAAACAAATATTAATAATACTAACAAATATTATTATTACATAATTAATCAAATAAACAATGAAATTAATGAACGTATTAATTAAATATTGAATTTACTTAATAAATAAACAAAAACAAAAATGTATTATTTGACTCAGGATTGGTCCAGGGCTGCAAAAGAGGGTCAAATTCTTTATTTAATTAATTATTTAATAATAATTATAAGTATTATAAGGATACATAACAGTAGAGTATTATGTTATTATTGTATATATTAGGATGTTACAAGTACATTATAATTATTATATTATTATTAATCATATTAAATTATTTATTTAACCAACAACAACAATAACTATTTATAAAATAATTGATACATGTTATAATAATAACAATAATAATAAATTATTATAAGTATTTTTTTATTATCATTATTGTTTTACATTTTTTGACCCAGGATTGGCACAGGGCTGCACATTGCTGGAAAGAACATTATCCAAGAACTAAAATTACACACATCTTATCTTGTTTGAAGATTTGGGCACCCGGTTTCACAGAGACTGATCTGTTCAGGTGTGTGTGGGACAGGAAGTGTTCTTACCCTGTCTGTCCTGATCAAACTCTTCAGAAAGCAGGTGGTAGCAGCAGCCCACACTGCAAACGGCCCGCAACTCCTGTTTGGCCCCGAACATCCGCAGAGAGCTGGGAGCCAAATCTCCACACGTATGCAGGCCAACCAGAACTGCATCCTGGGTACCGGCCAGAGGGAGAGGGAGAGAAAAGGGTAATTTGGTGAAATCAACACAGACCGTTTGCCATCTCTCATTGATCATAAATAATTTGCTATGGACACATCCAAGTCCCTCTCCATTCTTGAGCTCAATTTCACCTAATTAACATGATTAGGATAATCGCAGGCGTCTCGCTGAGCTGTAATAGCAATGATACAACTTCTGCTCTGTTATCAAAGCCCACAGCTGGACAACTATTGCAGCATAGCGTGTCTCTTGTGCTATTATATGAGTTTAGTACACAGAAATTATTTGATCCTTAGAGAATATCATATGAAATTAATTCACAACACATTCGCAATGAAATAAAATTTGTATCATGGACCAAATGCTTCAAAAAGTATGTAAAAACACAGCGTCAGCTATATAAGACTCATGTATACTTTGTGAGAAAAATAGTATGATATAATAAAAGATAAATTCTTTATTTAATAATAATAATAATAATAGTTTTTTATTTATTAGTAGTTGTGGTAGTAATATTTGTAGTAGTAGTAGTAGTAATAATTACAATTATAATATAGATTATAGATTATATAGAATATAAATTTAAATTGACAAAACTTCTAAATCAATTACTTACGTAACTCATTATTTACTACTACTAATAATAACAAAACTTAATAAATAATGAAGGAAATAATTCATTAATTCATAAATGAACAACAATAATGTATGATTCATTATAACATAATACATTTCATAAATAATAATAATAATTATTATTATTAAATAATGAATTAAATAAACAATTGGTTTAATAAGTTGTACAATTTATAAAACTATAGATTTAATAAATGTAAAAAATTCTATAGATTTAATAAATTAAATAATTATTTAATGTAATTTTATTATTATTATTTTACATTATACATTTTGTTTTATTTTCAAATGAATCATACATTATTATTTTTGTTGATTTTATATTTTAACAAATTTTCTCCCTTGGTTGAAACCCCTTAATAATTCTAAAATGCATCATTAATTATTTTACAGTGAATTATAAAAGGATTATTATTGCACTAGTTTTCTCCCCTGGTTCACTGAAACCCCGTGTGTTCTGACATCCACTCACCTCCAGCTCTGTGATCAGCGTCTTGAGTTCAGTTTCTTCAGTGACGTATGAGGTCAGAGGGGAAAACAGGCTGCTGTCGCTGTCGTTCCTCCTCCCTTCCCTCTCTTTCCTCTCCAGATTGTCCCTCTTCCTCCTCTCTCGTTCCTCCAGGCTCAGCTGGCTGGGGTGGACACGAGGAGAAGCGTCCTCTATGACGTCTAGAGACAGCGTGCTGAGGAAGCTGCTTCCTGCATCCCAATCACTGGGGTCTAATGTGGCATTATCTGAAGCGGATAAATCACTGGAGACTCGTTTGGATAAATCACTGGTTTCCTCTTGAGCCACAAACCTTCCTTTTCCCTTTGTAATAAAGTTTTTGTTGCCATCACTGTTCTCACAGTTTCTGCTGTGTTGTTTACTCCCATCCTCACTGTCCAAAGCTTGATTCCCACTGGCTCTGTTCTGTTTCTGATAGGCTTTGGAGAACTTCTTCAGTTTCCTGTTCCTCTCCTGAGCTCCATGTGTGTTGGTGCTAGAAGAGTCGATACCGAAAACCTGTAGGTTAAACTGCATGGATAGATAGGAGCACAGGTAGCCTTTCCCAGAACCCACGTCTATCACCTGAAATGAAGAAACTAAAGATGAAGAAGTTGCAATTCAGAACAAAACATGTAATTAAACTCAATTTGAAATGTTCTTACCTGTTTGACCCGGCAGCATTCAGCCAAACTAGCCACGACCTCAGACATCGCATGCACCTCATGGGCTTTCTTACAGTTCATAAACTCATCTGGAACAGGAACTTTGTCTGATGACTCTCCTATGGAAATTACAGACAACGCATGCTATATATCCTTGTAATAACCTGAATGTGACATGCATAATAATCATAATAAAGATTCAGAGTGGAATTTAAATGTGCTTCTGATCTGAGTGCAGTTACCCGCTATAGTGTCTCCATATATCAGTGTCAGATTCTCCATCAGCTCTTCCAGCTGCATACTGACCCCCAGACCCGGGAAACTGTGGGCTCTCGCTGCCCTCAGCAGGGCTGATATGTCCACCAGCTTCTTTGAGGCATTACAGAAACCAAAGGTGGTGTTTTCCTTCTCTAAAACCAAAACCAAAAACGTTACTATGAAATACAGCTGATTAAATATAGTCCAATGCACTTTAGTTCAATACATAATAAATTAAAGTATCAAGGAGCTCTTAAGGGAATATGGTGATGTAAAAAATATAAGTAGGAGGAAAAATGCTTAATTGCGTTAATGCGTTCCCATCAATATCTATTTTTTAAATGCTGCAAATTTACATATCTTAAATGAGTCTTATATTATTAAAATATATTATCATTATTACTAAAAAACGTCAATTTGTATACAAATCAGATGTTAATTTAAACCTTTAATAACATGCTGACAGCTTTTTTCCTTGAGAAAAACGAGCATATATAGTAATTCAATTTATATATCCAAATGAATTGATATTGAATCGAGATCGAAATGTGATCGCAAGCTTGTAAATCAAATAATTCGGACTCAAAAGTTGGCAGCCCTGTTGTAATGAACTGCATAAATAAATGTTTATATTAGTAGGCTAAATCAAATTAATCATTTTAAATATTGATAAAATTAAATGATACTGCCACAGACCATTTTGTGATATTACTCCACAAAATAATGTAGTATTCTGGGTAAATGTTAAAGAAAATTAGCATATATTAGTAATTTTAATTCTGAGCAGTTTCTTTATGTTTATATATATATATATATATATATATATATTTGTTTATTTAAACCACAATTTCTTTCTTTACTTTGAAAAGTAATTTCATTATATATTGCAAACAAATATTTGCACAAATTATGCAAATAATAACAATAAAAGGACCAGATTGAGTCCATCTTACCTTCTACCGCCTCCATGCGGCCATCAGTGGAACTGATAGAATGCAACACCACTTCTGGACTCACACACATGAACGTGCTCCAAACATCACGCGTGTAAAAGTCCACTGTGTGCGCATTCGAGATGCTTAGCGATATGGAGAGAAAGCGCTTAACTTCATTTATTTTCCTTTTTAAAGTGTCAATAGGCAAGTCATTAAATGCCATTATTCACGACACAGAAAAGTGAGAATTTCGTAAGAGCAGCAGCTGTTGACACATTTTCTGTATTTAAGACATAAGTAGTCAAATCAGGATATGATTCCTCTGAGCGACCAAATGTGCGGCCATTTTGAGTGTACTAGTCAACGTTTTGTTCTATGTGCGAATAGAAACACATTGACCTCACACAAATGGTGCTTATTTTGATTAGTAATGCCTTGCGACCACACGTATTCAGTACGTCATTGTTGTGCGTCTTGACAAGAGAGCATTCGTCTTTTCCACATACTAGCTTCAAACATGGCACCGTTAAAACAGAACTCAAAAAGTCAAGGTCCGTTTAGAGGAAAACACTTCAATAGCAAATTTTCACATGGGGGTTTATCACACAACGCCAAAAGAAAAAGAAAATGGGTTCAGGAGAACAAAGTTTTTGATGGTAGTTTAAAAGAGGGTGAGTAGTTGACTTCAAATCCATCAACGTAAATACTATTTAACATTTAAGTAAACATATTTCGATGTAGAAAACACTCATTAATTAAACACATTTTCAATAACAAATAAAGATGTTTGATATTACATCCTTTAAAAATCTAGTGTACAATTCACGTGCCTAGTTCTTTGAAATGTAATCGTTGCATTAATGATGAAAAACGTTTATTCCATTTTCTAAAGAAAATATAATTTAATTTGTGAATAAACTGCAATTATGTATATTTGAATAACGTAATAGATCCGTAATAATCCACAATAAAGGACTCGAATGTATTCTGTTTGAATCTCATCTCTGTCTCATGCTTCATCAGGTCAGGGGTTTGCCTTCAAAAGGAAGGAGAAAGTAAGGCATGAATACAACAAACTTCTTCGAAAGGAGAGGAAGAAAAATCAAGCATCAAAAGTCCAGTTAGAGGAGAAATATCCCGAGCATCTGAGACATCTGTACCTGGCTGAAAAAGAACGATTAGATGAAGAAGAGCAGGAGAAAAAGAAGAAAAGATGTGAAGGGAGAGCACTGGATAAAGAGACAGAGGCAGATGATGAACTAAACATGGGGTCGGATTCTTTACATTCTCCTGAGAAACACATCTTAAACACAACGACTGACCAAACTACCACCCCTGATTCATCTAATAAACCAGCACAGTCTGACAGGTACAGTAACAGATAGTGAATACATATGTTTGTGTGTGTATTATATTCAAATAATAGTCCATTTGCATCAGCAAAGCCACATTCCTGATTTGTGTCATCAGCTCCCACAAGGCCCCGTTCATCCAAAGGAAGCATAAAATGTCTTCGTATCAAAAGACAAAGCAAGAATATGAGAAAATGAAGGAGGAACGTGCACGAAAAAAAGAGGTGAGGCAATAGAAACTGGCCAATATAAAATGATTACATCTAACAAATGTATACGCCGATCCAAGCCTGCTGTTCGCGCTCACCTTATCACAACTTATAGCTCGTTCACATTCTCACCAGCGCACTTGGATCGGCGTTCGTAGATCGACTGGTAAAGACTGTATTTCAAATATGGCTCCTGTCTGTATACGCGAAGTTGACTGTATGTTTAAAATATCTTCTTATTAAACTGTCTGGACACTGACAAAGTTCTCAATGCTTCGGTTTGAAGGTAGGGACCCTCATTATGCTACCGTGTTAGTGTGGGGCTATTTTCAGCCTTGTTAGTGGTATTAACAAGCGATTTTTATTTGTCATTACACTATGCCCAATATACTAGCGTTATACTAGCTTTATAGGCTAAACTGTTTGTAGAGATAAAACTATTTACATTCGATAATCATGAAAACAAATCTCAGATAACGGTTGACTAGGTAACAATGTGTAATTAGACCAAAGGTTCATTTTGCGCCGGAGTTCTCCTTTAATCAGTATGATGGAATTGGTGTAGTTTTCAATTTCCTAATGAATGTGATGTCATTAAAGGGATAGTTCACCCAATAATGAAAATTCTGTCATTTACTCATCCTCATGTTGTTCCAAACCCACAAGACTTCTTCGTAACACAAATGGAGATATTTTAATGAAATTGAGAGATTTCTGTCCCTCCATGACACTCCACGCAATTACCACTTTGACGCATCAAAAAGGTCATAAAGGGATTGTAAAACTTTAGATCGAATTTTCTGAAGAGAAAATTATATGATGAATGGATTTAATTTAGGCTTTTATCCACATATAAACATTCATCATCTCACACATCAGTGTTGGTAAACAGAAGCTCAAGCATGCGAGAACGTGCAAGAAATAAATAATGAGGTTCATTCTCGTGTTACGCAGCACGTTTGAGCTTCAGCAAGAACCAATGAGGTTTGTTCTCGCTAGGGGTGTGCCGGTTTCAGAATTGGTGATGACGGTTAAGCAGACACTGATTAGCTACTGGCGTTTATTTAACATGAACAGCAAGACAACTAGAAGTGAATGTGCTTTCCATTAAATGTATCACACAGTAAACAAATCCTTAACAAACAAAACAAACAAACGTTGGAATGAATTGGAATGAACTTTGCATTTTAGACGCGCAAACTGCGTGCCGGTGCGGTGAGACGTGCATGCTCGGGCAGATTCGGCTTGAAGTCGGTCATCCTCGGACGCGGCGCCGCGCGCGCTGTTACAAAAAAAGCCTTGCACACAGCCAAGCCAAATGGGGTCTTTCTTGCCGGTCTTGCGCACCGAACGCGTCATTTTTGCCGCGCGCACCTTCGCACTCGTGCGGACGCGTCGAGTATAAACAAGGCTTTACTCTGTGTCAGCGCGCGCTCTGATCGGTAAAGTACAGACAAACCTCTCCCGAATCATCTCCAGCAGTAGCAGCCTCCGTTTCCCTCTTAAGCTGATATTAGTATTTAAACATTCTCTATGATAAAAAATGTTTGTAAAAAATGTTTTAATAGTAGGCTACGGTTTTGGCGGTTATAGAGTTCTAATGACGGTGTTCAACTATAACCGTCGATCTCACGGTTATATAATAACCATCACACCCCTAGTTCTCGCACGTCAAGCAGGTTCGGTTGAGTTTCTGTTTATGTTTGGTGATCAATGTTTATATGTGACCCTGGACCACAAAACCAGTCACATGGGTCAATTTTTTACAATTGAGATGTATACATCATCTGAAATCTGAATAAATAAGCTTTCCATTGATGTATGGTTTGTTAGGAATATTAGGCCGAGATACAACTATTTGAAAATCTAGAATCTGAGAATGCACAAAAAAACAAACATTGAGAAAATCGTCTTTAAAGTTGTCCATTTATTTTCGCGGTTGTGCTGCATTCACTTACAAAAATAAATGTTTTAAATATTTACGGTAGGAAATTTACAAAATATCTTCATGGAACATGATCTTTACTTAATATCCTAATGATTTTTGGCATAAAAGAAAAATCGATAATTTTGACCCATACAATGTGTTGTTGGCTATTGCCACAAACATACCCGTGCGACTTAAAAGCCTAAATTCAATCTGTTCATCATATAAAATCATCGTGTCTCTTGGTAGTTGCTTGGACTGTCAATGGAAGGACAAAAATCTCTCAGATTTCTTTTTTCTCAAGTATCTTCATTTGCATTTCGAAGATGAACGAAAGTAATTGATGATATTTTTTAAATTTTTGGGTGAACTAAGCCTTTAAGGAAGATCCATTATGTCATGTACATATACACATTTTCACCACCTTTAAATTCTTTGCCTAAATGATTGACGCATGTTTTATTATCTGCGTCTCTGTAGGAATTCTTGAAAGACAAATCTCAGCGTGAGGAGGCTCTGAAGAAATACAAGGAAAAGAAAATGGCAACATATCAGCTGTTGAAGAGAAAAACCAAGAAGGGTCAGCCCAACCTCAACCTGCAGATGGAGCTGTTGCTGCAAAAGATTCAAGCTCAGCGCAAATAATTCAGCATCAGACTTAAAACTGTTTCAAGTTGTTTAAAGTAAAAATGCACCACCACACAATAAAATGTGCAGTTTGGGTGAGTGTTTTTTACATAGTGTATAACTGTGTCTTTACAGTAATATTTTTTTTAAATAAAAGGTTAAAGGTGCAATGTGTCAATTTTGAGTATCTATTAACAGAAATGCAATATGACATCTATAACTATGTTATCAGTGGTGTTTAAAGAACTTACTTAATAAACCGTAATGTTTTTATTACCTTAGAATGAGACATTTATATCTCCATAACCGCGGGCACCCCCTTCAATGAAGGTCGACATATTGTGAGTGACGTCATGTTTCTACTGTAGCCGACAGCAAACAAACAGCGCTACAGAGCGCGTTTCGTCACTACCTTGAAAGACAAGCCGCAGAAACCTAGAAGCTAGCCATAAACACCATGAGTAGTGACTTTTCCCTTGTCAGTGGTGTAAAATATGTAGTTGGATTGTTTTATGTAACTTAGTTCTTCTCCCTCGCTGTGTTATGGCTTTGCTATGTGGGGATAAGTGTGCTGGTCACGTTTGTGAGACAATCAGCTGATTACTATTATTATATAATATATTAAGACCCTTGATCCTCACCTGACTATGGCTTTGTAAACTTTATCCATGATGTGGTTTATAATGGACTGTGGTACAGAAACAGTGACAATGTTACACACTCTTGGCTTACTCTGGCTTATTCTCTTGCTGTCTCCAGACGACGATATGTTTGTCCCGTTTTAGCCATCGTAGCTTCTTTGAAAGGGAGGGGTGAGCGGTGGGCTGAGCCCTTAGTGTAAACTCGACTGCACCTTTAAATTCTGCTCTACTTATGTTAATTCAAGCTGACAGTTCACTATATAAATACTATTACTAAATACTATGGCAGTAAATTTATGGAAAAATGTGATGCCTAATGATAATCTAAGTTGTAAATCCATTTTATCATTATATTTATATAGATAATGCTGTCAGCAGCTGAACTGCCTAACCGTTTTTTCAACTTTTTTAAACATTTATAGTGTATCCCATAGTTTTCACATTTCCTCTAACTGCTTTTTAAAAATATATATATATAATTTGTGATAAACGTAATGAATGAATGGTATATTTTGTTTATTAGGTAAAAAATATTGATATCAAAATAAAAAAATAATAGGCCAAATATTAAAATACAAATACTACAAAATTTGTTGCAATGCATGTAGTAACCTGTTATAAAAAAATATTTCAGATAACAAAAACATGAATCTTTAACAGCAGTTTAAGAAATCCCCATATCTCCAGTAACTGTAATACGATTTGATGAAGAGGCAGTGGGTGTGGTCAGTGAGTCACATGGCTCCTCCTCATTTACTTGACTCCTCCTCCACATCATCATAGTCTTTTAAAAACAAAAGTAAACTGATCATTTTCATTGTAATAATTACATCAAGGTGTAGTTTAAATGAGAAACAACAAATGAAATGAATGTATAGAAATATTACAATAACTTACCCAACAGGTTTCTGTCATCTTCATTGCTGTTCTTCACATCATCATACTCCTCCTGATCTCCCTCTGATTCACATGTGAAATAAAACCTCATATTGCAGTTTGTAAATCAGCTTGTGTCACTGATGATGTTATTGATCTCTTTCCCTCATGACTGTCTGAGATTATTAGATTTACTCCTGATAAAGTCATGATGATTCATTAATGGATTAAATACATGTTCAATGTTAATGGGTGAAGGGTGATAATGAAATGCAGTTCTGTGTGACTCTCACCTGTTACATCTTCAAAGATCTGTTCATTAATGATGACATCATCATAATGCTCTGGTGTGTCCACTACACGTGAACATATAGACACGACAAACATTGCATTTTATCTTACAATGTAATGAGGATAACCCATAATATCATAAATACTATAAAAGGATTATGGTAAATACACCAATAACAATAAAAAGTAAACACCATTTTTGAAAGAGTTCTGTCCACTTGTCATTACATCATCATAGCTCTCAGGTGTGTATTCTGTAAATTTAACATGAGACAATATATAATGTATATATATATATATATATACAGATTTTAATATATTTTAAATATTTCTTTCTATTATAGAATAACTGAATGACACCTGTCTCACGATCTGGTTTCAGTCCATCAGTGATAACATCATCATAGTATCCCGGTGTGATTTCCTTCATCATCTCCTCTGCATCAAAACGTGTATATTTTGGGCATTTTTTTTTATATTTTTGGGAAACAAAAATAAATGTAAAATATATTGTTGCAGGCTTTGAGTAATGAATATTAGCTGTGCCTCATTTCGGAGGCTGCGTCCTTCAGAGGTCTCATTTAAAGGCTGCATACCTCATCAAGGATGTCTTATTTAAGAAAATTAACAGTAATAAAATTGACTGTTAATCCTCGTGAGGAAATTTCTTTCTTACTTTGCAATCTAACGGTTATTTTTCCTAAATGAGACCGCCTCAATGACGTACTCAGTCTTTAAATGCGACCTCCAGAGGACTCACCCTCCGAATTGGGACACAGCAGGGTAATAATAATGAATCATGTGATCAGTTAACTGACCTTTCAGGCCATTGCCATTGGTGACATCATCATAATATGCAGTCTTGAACTCTTTTTCTATTAAGATATAATAAGTTTTAGTATTGTGAACAGTTGAATTAGTGTTAAAATATGTAAATTAATTATTTTACAATTGTAAATCAAATTAATGATTTGAATCTTCTTCAGCTCTCTAACCTGAGAGAAGCTCATCAGCATCTTCATACCCAGAATGCAGTTCTTCAGAGACGAGACTTCCTGTTAAAGAAGAGCAAAACATTCAAAAACATGTTTATCATTCCAAACAGATTGAACCCTCCTTTTCTTTGGATCATAAAGCATTGTTACTTACAACAAAACACAAATATTAATTACTAACATTTTACAAGCATTAGAGGCAGAAATCTTAAAGGGATAGTTCGGCCAAAAATGATATTTAAACCATGCATTACTCACCCTCAAGCCGTTCGAGATGCATATGTCAATCTTGTTTCAGACGAACACATTTTCAGTTATTTTAGAAAATGTCTTAGACCTTCCAGTGGATATAATGTGAAGCAATGGGGTCCACCTCCTTCAAGTCCCAAAATGTGCATATATCCTTCACAAAAGTAATCCATCCGGCTCCAGGGGGATAAACGAAGGCCTTATGAGGGTAATCCGTGCGGTTTTGTCGTAAAAATATACATATTTAAAACTTTATAAATGAAAATATCTGACTTCCGGCAACGATCGACGCGCGTTCACGGGTGATGTTTTGCTCTGCTCTCTGGCAGCTCTCTGGCTGCGCGGGCGCGTTCGTTCTACGTCACGACGCTACGTCCTAGCTCGTACGCCGACTTCCATCACCCGTGGACGCGCGTCGATCGTTGCCGGAAGTCAGATATTTTCATTTATAAAGTTTTAAATATGTATATTTTTACGACAAAACCGCACGGATTACCCTCATAAGGCCTTCGTTTATCCCCCTGGAGCCGGATGGATTACTTTTGTGAAGGATATATGCACATTTTGGGACTTGAAGGAGGTGGACCCCATTGCTTCACATTATATCCACTGAAGGGTCTAAGACATTTTCTAAAATAACTGAAAATGTGTTCGTCTGAAACAAGATTGACATATGCATCTCGAACGGCTTGAGGGTGAGTAATGCATGGTTTAAATATCATTTTTGGCCGAACTATCCCTTTAAGTTTTAGGCCTATTAGCAAACACACACATCTCCTCACATGAACACATGAACCCTCACTGCCTTCCAGAATTACACACAGGAGGAGAGACACACACACACACACAAACACACCTGCACCTACTTACAAACATGAACCCCTCCTTATAACCCTCAAAATACTCACAGGAAGAGACACTCACTGACACACACACACACACACACACACACACACATGCACCTGCAGCTCTGTGGTTTTCTGAGAGGAATTCTGTGGTTTAAAGCCGGAGGTTTAACAGGACTAATCATAGATGAACATCAAGTGTCTGACAGACTCTCTTATTAATCATATTAAATAAGTTTCATGTCTCATGTCTCACCTCTCTGAGTGAAGTGATTGTGTCTGTGATGAAGCTCCTCATAAACGGCCTCAGTCGTCGTCCTGTGTCTCCTCTTAGAGAGAGCTGTGAGTGTAGACAGACAAACCTGCTGTCAGTTCACAACACATGACTGATCACACACTGAATAAGACACAATATGACAGTCTCTGGATCTCTCCTACCTCTCCTCATCACTCTGTTCTGCTGAACCAGTATAAGCAGTGGCACTAAGAGCAGTAAGAGCAAAACTCCCAGTACAACCACAAGCACAGAGAGAGACGCTGCTGGAGGAGTTTGTGGAGGAGTGACTGATGTTGAGCGCACTGTCTGAGAAACTGGAGGAGAAGCTGATGTTGTTGTGGCAGGAGTAGTGGACACTGGCAAATCTGGCAAAACACACACAAACACATTCAAAATCATGCAAATACACAAATAATATTAGCACCAAAAAGGATGTAAAAATTAATACTATTCTTAAGAGTGTTGCTGTGACCTGCACATGTGAGTCCAGCGTGCTCTTTGTGAGAACAGTCAGTGTGGTTCTTCAGGGAGAGAGGACAGTTCCACAGGTGAATCTCATTCCCTCTGCACTCGACTCTGTTCAGCCACACAACACCTTCACCAGCACCAAAGACTGAATTCCCATCAGCCCTCAGTGCGTCTCCACAACCCAGCTGCCTGCAGACCACCTGAGCATCGCTGATGTCCCACAGATCAGCACAGACTGAACCCCACACAGCGTTATGATACACCTCCAGCCTCCCAGAGCACCGGCCCAAACCTCCACTCAGTCTGAGAGGAACATGCTCTAAAACACACACAGCAACATCACTGACCAGCTTCAGCACAACATTTACAACAAACACACACTGAAACTGGAGGACTTTAAAGCTGTGATTAATTTTGACTGTGGAATAAAAAAAAAATTTACAGTACAAAAAAATATATAAGAAAAAAAAGGAAATATAAGCTTATGATAAACTTACTTGAACACTGTCTCTGGTGAGGAGACGGAGAGTTTGAACATGTCAGACGACTCTGAGGAGACTCATGATTTTCCTTCTCTGAAATATTAAAGTTTCAAAACATCACTAATCAGAATATTAGACATAAATAATATTGAACCAAATATGATCATGTCGAACTATCTTAAATCAGTTAAAAATGATCTTACCTGAGCAGGTGATTTTGGCCACTTCATTAGGACATACACACTGTCCCCAGGCTGAAGATGGACACTGCCATAAAGCAGAGTCATGTTGCCGACATTTTAAAAATTCAAGCCAGTTATGAGACTTCAGTCCCTCTGAATTACTGGGTTCACTGCCAGATCTTCCACAGTTCAGCTCTTGACAGATCAGACTCGCTGTGTCTCTGTCCATCTTATGGTAACACACATTTCCCCAGGATCCATTGTAGAAAACCTCCACATTCCCTTCACAGCCCTCAGTTAACCTGATCTCTTTAAACTCTAGATGGAAAGGATGAAAATCAATGTAAACTCAAGTGAATCTGTTCATTTGAGATGGAAACCATAAAATAATTTGACGTTTAAATCAATTGATGCTTCTTTTAGTGCTTTTAAGGTATAAATATTTGGAAAAACAAAATGCAAATCCATTTTAAAAGAATGAGATAATTTTAATAATAAATATGTTTAAAACAATTCATACAAAGGGTATGTACACAGATTTTTTAGTAACTTTTCAGTCGTTTTGGGGGCGATATAATTTAATACTCAACAATTTTAAACAAACAAAAATGTGAAAAAATATTTTATTTATTCATATTTATAAAATACTACTGACCAAATGCACAATATGTATATTTAGCGACATTTTGTTGAATTAGCATCCAATCAGTAACTATATTTCAATTTTCAGAGTTGGTTCTGTATGTTTTTGATTCACTGAACAGAATTGACCCATTTGTTCAGAAGTCACAACACTATATATGCTGTGTGCTTTTTATTCACTAAAAGAACCGAATCATTAAAGTCATTAATTCAGCAATCGGACTACATTAGTTGTGCTTTCCATTTCATGCTGTAGATTCAGTAATGCTGTGTTGCAGTACTGATAAGTAAGAACTTCAGAAAACTCTGTCAGGTTATTTTATTACAGTATTCCATCCGCATTGAAAAGTGCATGTGGAAGAAACTTTACCGAAATTGGTTATAATATTTTCTAAATATTTTCTGAATAAGAACCTATTCTCAGTTCCCAACACTGCTTTTGATTTGCATAATGCGAGTATACTGGATATTATCAGGCACATTTTATAGGCTATTTAAATGTTATTATTTAAATGATAGTTTACCATTTACCTGAGCACACGACTCCTACATCCTCCTTGTGTTGACAGTCATGTTTCCCCCAGCCTGGAGAAGAGCAGTTCCACAGGGACGTCTCATTCCCCTCACACTCCACCTCATCCAGCCATATGGGTCCAGAACCAGGACCAAACCAGGCTGGTACCTGCTGGTTACTGAGGGCCACTCCACACTGCAGCTGTCTGCACACCACATGGGCATCTTTAATATACCAGGAGTCATCACACACTGTCCCCCATGAGCCGCTGTGAAAAACCTCCAGCCTCCCTGCACAGTCTCCCCCAGAACCCACCAGCCTGATGGACCCGCGACCTGATATTCAGAGAGAGAAAAACACATTATTGATCACTAACAACTGAAGAATCTGCCCAGATGCTGTTGTTCTCACCAAGGCAGGTGATTGACAGCTGTTGTGTGGAGCTGCAGTTGAGAGTGTGTGGAGAGCTGCAGTTCCCCAGATGAGCTTCACTCCCAGAGCACTGGAAGCCCGTCACACACTCATGACTGTGTTCAGGACTGGATGAAGAGGAGCCGGAGAAGTTCAGCACAGAGCCACAGCCCAGCTGTCTGCAGACCACAGAGGATTCAGTGAGACTCCAGGAGTCCAGCAGAACTCTCCTCCAGACCTGATGGATGGAAACTTCCAGCTCCCCCTCACACTGTCTCTCTCCAGACAACCGCACCAGACCGTCATGAACAGCCAGAGAGGAATCTAGAGAGAAGATCTCATCTTTTACTAAAATAAGAATTGTGTTATAAAATGGTGAAAAAGAGCATAATGCTCTCAGTGTCAAATAAGTTTACCAGAGCAAATGACTCCAACATCTCGTCCATGAGAACATTCAGCTCGACTCCATGAAGAGATGGAACATTCTGAGAGTTTTGTTTCATTCCCATCACAATCAAACACATCAGCCCATTCACCACTTCCCTCTCCAAACCAGTCTGATCCCACAACAGACACAGCAATCCCACAATTCAGCTGTCTACAGAGGACACTGGCAGCTCTCATATCCCAGCATGCATCAGACACTGTGTCCCATTCACTGAAGTACTGACGCTCAACTCGACCAGAACAGATGTCAGGACCATTGACCAGTCTGAGGTCAGTGTAACCTGGACAAAGAACACAGAGCTTACTGAAACTGATCAAACTAAGAACAAACCAATAAAATAATTACATTTTAGTTAACAATTTGAGTTCTCTATAGAAAGGCTGAACATTGACATTTTACCAGAACATATCAGTCCTACATCGTTGTCATGGGTGCAGTTTATATTATGTGAGGACGATGATGAACAGTGTTGAATGTGTGTTTCATTTCCTCTGCACTGAATCTCTTTTGATCCAATCTGACCATTTCCTTTTCCAAAAGCATCTTCTCCCAGCACCTGTACAGGAGCTCCACAGTCCAGCTCTCTACACACAACCTCTGCATCCTGCTGGTCAAAGGCAGCGTCACACACTGAAACCCATCGTCCTCCAAAATACATCTCCACTCTCCCAGAACACAGGTGAGACCCGTCCACAAGTCTTGACCTTCCGTAGTTTATTGTTTCTGAATATATTTACACAAAAGAGAAGACAATCTGTCATAATGATTATGATATGGATATAAAACAATAGTCCTATAATTAGCAATAGATTATATAAATAGATACAATTTGTTAAGTTGTTAAGACAATAAAATATACTACTCATCAATTAGCTGCGTGTGATTTGCTCTGATGACAAAATTACATTTAATTATTTTAAATTGCTTGTAAGATGTTTATCAATGAAAGTCTGATCAGTGATGCATTAACAGAGTGATGTATGGAGCCGCTCACCTGTGCAAATGACTCCAGCATCTTCAGTATGATCACAGTCACTAACACGCCATCCACTTGATCTACAGTTCTTCAGTGTTGACTCTGATCCATTACAGCTCACATCATCCATCCAGATTGGTCCTGATCCTTGTCCAAAGCGAGCCTGATCATCACCCACAGCCTCTACAGCCTCTCCACATCCCATCTCTCTACACACCACTCCAGCATCAGTCATATCCCAGTCATCATCACACACTGTTCCCCACTGACCTCCATGAAGAACCTCCACTCTACCAGCACAGGAACTGTTCCCACCAACTAACCTCACAGTCTCAAAATCTGTACATGAAAGAGAGAGAAAGGGATCGAATCATGCAAAGTCAAGAAACATAAGATGTAAAAAGTTGGTAAATATAAATATAAATATTTTGAACTGTACAACTAAAGCTGCGCACGAGTGTATAACAAATTGGTTGCCTGTAAAAGCTCAAATCTTTTATAAAATGTAATTGATAATTAATGATATAGTGTCACAGGATCTTAAGTTTCTAGATATAATGCTTCTATTTGTAATATTCTGCTTCAGTTTCTAGTGGTCTAATGCCATGATAGACAAACTGCTTATTTAAAAAGGTAATATTTTACATCTTAAGTTTATTTTGTACTTACCAGATGTGTTTATAGTGACTATAGAGGAGAGTAAAACGAGTGCCAGAAATACCTCCATCTTCTTCTGCTCGTCGTCACACTGTTTGTTTGACTCTGTTTCTCCTCTGCTCCCTCACACACACACTGAAGAAACTGGCTCCTGTCAGTCCCCTAAAGAGAGAGAAACTCTCACAGCTGCCAATGACACTCACTGTTACCTTATTAGACACAACAGAGGAAATCATCAAACATAATCACTGACAAATCACAAAGCAGCATTTTTATTTTCTCCATATATATCAATAAAGTGTGAGCGCTGATGAGCGGGACTCCTCCTCCAGCGTGAAGAGACACTTCACTGAGGACAGACTCGTGTCAGTCATGTTCAGCGTGGAGAGAAAGTCACACTAAACTTACAGGAGATTGATAGAGAAACACTGCAGGTTATATTCAGCATCAAAGCCTGTATCTACACACACAGCACACAAGCCTGATGACTGACTGCACACTACTGAAGCTTCAGTTCACACACAAAATACTTGATCTTTGTTATAAATATATAAATCATATAAACTGAACATTTTAAAGTTGATTTTGGAACAAATGTGTATAATATCAAGTGTATTTTACTATACTGTTATGTTCTAACCAATAGCACACTTAACAGTAGTTAATAAATTATTAAATAAACTGGAATGGTTGTGTGCAATAAACAGACAAGTTTCATATCACATCTGTAAATAAACATTGCTTTCTTTTCCACCTATATTCATGTGGCATTACATTCAACACATTTGTATAGCTGTAATGTGTGTTTAATATTGCAATGCATAATTCCTCCAGCAGCCGGCGGCAAAACACTTATTATAAAGAGAAGCAGAAAAGAGTCTGGTCCATGTTAGAGCTTCTCATAGCCTACATTTTTATTGGCAGAAAATGTAAATTAGTTTTTTTACTGCTACTTCGTTTACAGCTACAATTTTAATTTATTACATAGGGTGAAGTCAGCAAAATTGGGACACTTTTGTGGTAAACTGTGTATTAAATACAAATACATCTATACACTTTTAATATTTTAAACAAATGCTCAAGGTCTCTTGAATCTCCAACTATGGTTGTTTGAAGGAATATGGGTGTTTTTTTTTTTTAAATATACAAAGATAATTTGTACTTACCAGATGTGTTTATAGTGACTATAAAACGAGTGTCAGAAATCCCTCCATCTTCTTCTGTTGGTTTGTTTGACTCTGTTTCTTTAAATTAAATACAAATACATCTATTCTACCTACACTTTTAATATTTTAAACAAATGCTCAAGGTCTCTTGAATCTCTTGAGATTCAAGGTCTCAAGGTTCAAGGTCTCTGAATCTCTAAAAAAAAAAAAAACCATATTCCTTCAAACAAACAACCATAGTAGAATAGATGTATTTAAAAGATTAAAAAATGAAAAGAACCCATTATTCTATAGCCGTCTTCAGGTAGGTAAATGTGTGATTGGATAATACAATTGCTTGCAACAGGATATTGTACAAATCCTTTTTTAATATAATTTTTTTTTTAAAGAATCTATGTAAAACAATAGCCTACATTTATTACACTGTAACGTATTGTGTTGATGATGTTTCATGCACAGCTCAGGGCTCCTTTATTAAAACATTTTGGCAGTAATAACCTTTGAACTTTCAGTAAAAAGCTTTGTTTTTGTTTTCAGAAAACAATTTCATTCCATTAGCTTTTGCATATTCAAAAGCTATTTCTCTACAAAAAAAAAACGCTTTAACATGTTTTGTATTTCCTTCTCAGACCACTATGACAAAAAAAAAAGGTTTTCTGCCAGAGGCATGCATCCACTCACAACACCTTTCACTCTTTTTTCAAGGATTTTGGAACACATCATGTCCTGGCCAAATAAAAAGAAATCTAGTTCCTGCGCTGTCTCCTGTCTCCACTCTTTACTCAGTGGTGGACCCTTTCATTCTTTATTCACTACATCTCTTGTTTGACTGACATGTTTTGTTTTGTTTTTCTTCATTTTTTTCATTTAGCCTATATAGCTTTGTGACATTTTCTGTCAAACAAAACAACTTTTCACAGTAAGCAATGTAATCTTTTATTTTATAGGATTAAAACTTAAATTTTTATTTATTTAGCCCTATTTATTTATTTTATGAGAAAAATAGCCTAATACATTAGTTGGATTCCATTTAACTGTTAATATCTCCCCTAGAACAACAGCACATCAAGTTATGCGTTCACTGTGCTGGTCACTGATTTTACTGTAATACTTTTCTAGAACAGCAACATCCATTTATCGCGCCCGCTCCGTTCTGTCTGAACGTTTCCCGAGATTCCCGATACAGTTCTTAGTTGATTTAGCGTAGCAACAATTTAGTTAATACAGCGGCCAACTCAATCCATGACCACGACTGAAAAGTATATATCCATTCATTGCACAGAAACTCACCGCATTTATATGCGTTCACAACGACACTGGACGCGTCAAAGCGAACTTGGCGTCACATCCATCTCTCGACATCTTGATAACTTACTGTTCATGTTTGAGGGTTCAATCATCAGGTGTTCTTGCTTTATTGAGAGGTGCTCAATCTACTTCCAGTCTCTGAGTTTGGTCAATACTCCTGTTGACAAATGGTGTTTTGCTTCACCCAATAAAATTTATTAATCCAAAATAAATTCATCTGATCTTGTTATTCGCTAAATTCTTGCTAAACCTCTTTTTTAATTGTATGAAAGAACTTTAAAAATACATCATTTCAATACAATTTTCTGAGAACAAAAAGATTTTCAGTGTCATGTAATTCTCATAATTTTTCAATGTTTAATTTATACTATGCTTTTGTATTCTGTTGTTGTTATTACTTGTGTATTGTTTTGAATCAATACAAAATGCTGTTCATGTTTCTTGTTTCTGTTCATGTGGTCAAGAAGTAATAGGTACAATAAATATATTACAATGAAAATTATAATAAATAAAAGTAACAAAAAATGATCATATGTTACTTTCATATTGAGGTAACTGGATTAGTTTACTCTTTCGATTAGATAAGAAGAAAAGATCGAATAAGTTTACCTTGTCTTAGTGAATGTAATGTCATGTAACATATTCAGCACCCTTTAAATTCTTTGGCAAATGATTGATGCATGTTTTATTATGCCTGTCTGAGTAAATTCAATTTTGAAAGAGTTGAAAAGTTGTTGAAAAGAAAAACCAAGAATGTTCAGTCCAACCTCAGCCTGCAGAAGAAGCTAATGCAAAATATTCAGTATCAACCACAAAATAAGACAAAAAAACTGTTAAAAATTATTTAACGTATTTAAAATTTAAAATGGAACATTACATAATAAACTGTGCAGTTGAGATCGGTGTTTAAATGTGTTTATTTATTTATTGATGACCAAAATTATACGTACAATTATCTTTGCATACCTTTTTGTTGTTATCACGCAAATATTTAAATTCAATTGCATTGGGAATTGTTATGCTCTAAATGTATTTAAAATCTTGTCATTGGATAGTGCTGTCAACTGCCTAAAATACTGTAATTTGCCTAAAAATACATTTTCCACATTTTCTTTTGTCCAATATCCTCCAAATGCTCTTTAAAACAATATTAATTCATAAAGTTCATAAAAATTAATTAATTGGTTAAAAAACGTATATTTTGAGTATGCATTGATATAAAAATAACAGGCCAAATACTGAAGACTGAATATTTTTGTTGTCAAATTTTGCAACGCATGTAACATTTCATAGAAAAAAGAATTGAAATAGCATAAAAACATAAGGCACTGATGCATTAGAAACAACATAACAATCTCCCAGTAGCTCCAGTAACTGTAATATGATTTGACGAACATGAAGTGGGTGTGGTCAATAAGTCACATGGCTCCTCCCTCTTTATTTGACTCCTCCCTCACATCATCATAATCTGTTTTTAAAAACAAAAGCAAATTCATATTTTTCATTGTTATAAATGCATCAAGATTTTGTAATGAGCAACATAACTAATAAAAACAGATATAGGCTTTAGAAATGTTACAATAACCTACCCAACAGGTTTCTCTCATCTTCATTGCTGTTCTTCACATCATCATACTCCTCCTGATCTCCCTCTGATTCACATGAGAAATAAAACCTCACATTATAATTTGTAAATCAGCTTGTGTCACCGATGATGTCATTTATCTCTTTCACCTCATGACTGTCTGAGATTATTAGATTTACTCCTGATAAAGTCATGATGATTCATTAATGGAATAAAAGCATGTGTGACTCACCTGTTACATCTAGAGCATTCTGTCCATTAATGATGACATCATCATAATCCTCTGGTGTGTCCACTACACATACATGAAGATATAAACAGAACAAATGTTACATCATCATATGCATCATTTCAAAGGAATTTGTAAATCAGTCACATTTGTGAAGAAAGTGAACTCCACCCAATCTACAACACAGAGCTGAAGGCACTACAAACCGAAAGCAAAACATTTAAAGCCACTCAAGTTTTAACCAAATAATTATATTCTCGAATTCAATAACATTCAAACCATCAGATGTTCTGCTCTCCAGGTCTTCAATGTTGTTAAACCCAGGAGTGATTTGCTCGTTTCTATGCACTTTTCTTTGCATTCTTTTAATTTCAGCGGGATTAAACTCAATAGCCTTGGAAATCTCTGCAATCATGACACTGTTCACACTTCTGACTCGCCATTTCTTCTCATTTTTGGTCTTGTGAATCAAAACAAGCAGTCAGAGAAGTGATGGCTTACAGCAAAGTTGCATTGGTGATGTCATTGTCATTTTTTTGAAGGTGTTTGATATAGTATGTAGCTGTGAACTGAGACGAATATCGACATTTTGTTGTTAGTTCGGCTGTACCGACTGTAAATTTGGAGATAGGCAGCTCGGTAAAAATATACAGTATGTGCTCAGCCCGCCATCTCAGCTGAAACCCACCTTTTTAATTTTTTTTTATTTAGTCATCTTTGTTGCAAAAAAAGGGTACAAATCACAAGTGACTAACCAAAATATAACAATATACAAGATTATAACATGTAAAGAATACAATATAGTTTTGCCAGGGGAAGCTTATGGGCCATTAAAAAGAGAAAGAGGACCATATGTTGACAGTTTTTATTGTCTTTTTGTTGTTGGAGCCAGAAATCAGATTAATATAATGTAGGCAACAACTTCATGGAGAAAAGGTACAAAATTCGTTTTTTAGCGCTAAATTTACATTTATGAATGTGAAATTTTGCCAAAAGAATTAATACATTTATAATAAAGTAGCCTACATATTTTCTTTACTTTGATAAAAGCAAAATACAACATTCTTCCACAATAAGGCAAAGTCTTTATAAATCAATGGTCAATGATGAATCTGCTGAGGTTTTGCCAAAATGTTCTGGTGTGTGAGCAATTCCAAAAGAGGTGCAAAACAGTTTCTAGGTGGTCTTTACAAAAATAACAGATTGTATTGAAATTAAATTAAATTGTATTGAAATTAAATTTCCCACGTTTTTTAATATCAAAGTTCTGTCCACTCGTCATGACATCATTATTGCTCTCAGGTGTGTCTTCTACAAATTTAACATGAGACAGCCATACAAATTATAATGTAAATATATATATTTATATATACACAGATTTTATATATTTTAAATATTTAATATCCTAATACAGAATAACAGAACGACACCTGTCTCACGATCTGGTTTCAGTCCATCAGTGACATCATCATAGTATTCCGGTGTGATTTCCTTCATCATCTCTTCTGCATCAAAACATTTTTGGGTAAATAAATAAATAATATTTTGGGAAACAAAATAAATGCAAAATATACTTTTCAGGTTTTTAAATAATTTAATAATGAATTATGTGATCAGTTAACTGACCTTTCAGGCCACTGCCATTGGTGACATCATCATAATATGCCGTTTTGAACTCTTTTTCTAATAGGATAAAAGTTTTAGTTTTGTGAACTGTTGAATTATTGGTCACATCTTTAATTTAATTTAGGTATTAATTTCAGGTATTATTTTGAATATACTTCAGCTCTCTAACCTGAGAGAAGCTCATCAGCGTCTTCATACCCAGAATGCAGTTCTTCGGAGACTAGACTTCCTGTTAAAGGAGAGCATAACAGTGTAAGGCCTGCTAATTTGATCCAATGCCGGCATTCAAATTAGCGGTGAAGGTCTCAACGCGCGTTCCGTCTCTTCCAATGGCAGAGGGATTTATAATTAAATGTAATACTTTTTTTGTCTTATGTTCTAACTCGTTTCATCTGACTCCATAGAATGAAAGTGTTTTTCAATGATATCTGTGCATCATTAAGTATACGTTAATGTTTGACTATTCGTTTTAACTCCAATGAAAATAAAGTCAAAGTCTGTTAGAATAATCAAATATAACAATTTATTATGTCAGGTAAATGTATTATAATAATTCCATAATCAATTGAAAGATAATCAATGCAACTCATCAAATGTTCTAGAACAAAGAGGAAAATCTTTTACCCAACATGAAATACATGAATGCTGAGTCTCGGCGACTCAGCATCCACGGGCTATCTGAGATACAGAAAAAGCCACGATCCCTTGCTGCCTTCCATTAAATAGCCAGACCTCATTTCATATGTAAACCTGTATTCACAGTGGAAATGTACTGGTAGGTAACCATTTGCTTAGTTGTAATTTGCATTCAAACAAAAGGCCAGAAGGTGTTAACTCCGAGACAAACCCTTCTGTGTGAAGGATATTTCTATATTCTTAATAACCTTATTACCTTTTGTTTTACTTCTTTTGGAATGAGACACTCGTACCAGCCACCCTGAGACCTTTAAAATGATACTAAACACAATACTCAATGATAATCATTCACATTAAACCATATATATATATATTCTTATGTGAGTTCTAGCTGTTACTGGGTGAAATGTAAATCAGGTGAGACTGCGTGAGGGGGAGGTCGAATGCTATTTCAGCAAGTTCCTTTGTTTCAATAGACCATGTGGTCAAGACAGTGTCTCCAACCAGTTCTTACAAGGCCAAATGTTCATTTCCAGCTTCAACCAGTTTCCCAGTCTTACAGTTCCCTCCTTGACCCCGTGGGTCAAATTCGAATGAAAACTTACGGGGTCACGCGGTAAGACGTTTGTTGTAATCCTTGAGATGTAACTCAAAATTGTCTTTGCAATGTCAGCATCTGTAGAAGCTCAGAGGGCTGTGTTCCCCTGCAGAACACCTGTTCTCACCAGGTGTATGTAGCATGAGTCCAGCAGGTGGATGAGGCGTTCAGGCTTTCTGCCAGTGATCCTGTGATGTGAGCAAAGTTCATAGAGTCAATCTAGACCTTTCAACTTGTTCAGTTGACGTGTCATTCCTTCATGGAGAAACTTCCGTTTCCCTGGCACCTTCCCCATGATGATAATCTGTCCCTTCTTGACCAATCCTGTCACCTCCAGCGGTGCGGCTGTCTGGACAGACCTCAGTGAATGAAGGTGTTCTCCTTGGCTTCACACTGCTTTGTGTGAGACACCTGAAAAGCATCTTAAATGTCCGCTTCACGATTGAACACATATGAACTTGAACTCGCCAAGAAATCCATAGTGCATAATGCAACAAAACAAAATCATGTCATGTTCAATTTAAAATACCATGTTCTTGTCAGCAGGTGTGAATGGTACATCTGTCTCATATGTTTCTCACGGTCCTGAATGGTAAGGATGTCTCATATTAAATGTCCAATTCTTAAATATATATATTTTTTGGTCTGAATTATTCAAAGGAAATGCAGCAAGAGGTCAGTGTAATCAAAGCAATCAAATAAATGGTATGCATCAATACGTCTTGTAATAACAATAATATTCAAAAATAAAAAAAATATGAAGAATCACTGTTTGTTCAGGAATCTTCCAATGCAAGCCACTTATGCAATCTAAGAAGTGACTTGGAACATGAATGGAGATTGTTCATTCCTTGTAACAGGTGTGAGATAGTGTGTTTGTGTGAGTGTGTGTGTGTGTGTGTGTGTGCGTCTGTGTGTGAGTGTGATAGTTTGTGTGAGAGAAAGAGAGAGAGAGAGAGTGTGTGTGTGTGTGTGTGTGTTGTTGTTGGCTAAGTCACAGTCAATGACAGGGTTGAATTGTAAATTCTGTAATTGTTTGAAGCGCTCACACTTCAGATCTATTTAGTTATGATGTTTCTGTTATTAGTGGTTGTTGAGAAATCAGGGGCCCTCTGACCTTCCAACCACCCTAATAACAATCAGAAAGTGTAAACATTCTTAAATTTAATAGCAGGTCTGCCTCTGCTTTAATTTTGTTTTTGCATCATTGATTTGTGACTGTAGCCATTCATATGTATATTACAGTGTTTTCCCATGAGTTGGCAGAGTGTTGTGAATAGCGTATGCTATGTGTGTCTCTGTTAGACGGTCATCATGGGATCAGCTTTACCATCCTATGTGTGTGAAGCTATCTGGATCTGTTAGTGTGAAGATGCACAATAGATCTTTAGTGAAGTGACACTTTTGGACTCTATGTCATCTTTATCTTCTCATGATGTGTAGTGTTCAGTCTGAATAGACTTGATCTATTCCAGGTGATGATGCTGTGAGGGTGTAGTGATGGAGGAGTGTGTTCAGTGTTCATAGGAGATGGGTGGAATCTACTCTATAACAATTGTGTTGCAAATTTTAGTTCCAGTTCTAAACTGGGAGGCCATGCTAATTTAGTGATGTGCTATTGTGAGATGTAAATGGCCTTTGAAGTGTCTTTTCACCCATCTCCCGAATCTCAGGTTATGTTCTAACAATCGTGAGGTCCGGCCGTCCTGGCATCCGTCCCCTGAGGAATTGCAGAAGTAAACCTGCAAAAGGCTGTGGTCTGTCTGATGTTTAGTTCACACCCTCCTTCTAAATTTGGTTCCTTGATCAGTTGGCTATTACCTGTGCCACACTTCTGGGAGTGTTTTTTAAAGGCAAAAAGTAATAAAACACACCTCCGCCCTTTTGGCACTGGGTAGCAGGTCAACGAAATCGAACTGTAAGGATTAATGTCAATGTCATACTTCTCAAATTAATGCCTGCTTGGCGATTACAATATAATGTATATTAGAATTTAAGAATATAAATGAAATTATATTGTTTCTGGTCTCTGACGAGTCTCTGCTCGTTCTCGTGTCAGTACCTTTGAGGGAAAAATGTGACAGATTCAATGAATTTAGATGTTAAACTATTGAGCCATTTGCTATTGGGCTGTTACCCGACTAGCAAATGACGCTAATAGCTGAAGGCCTTGAGTGACCAAAGTTGATAGCTCAGTGAGGGTTTT